GGGGCTGATGGGGCACAGATGGGGCCTCCAGGGATCGGTCACTTGGCCCTTGCGGCCGCGGTGACCTCTTGCGCTCCCCCCCCTTCCCTCTAGAGCAACTTTGGCCCAAGCTGACCACGGTTCCGAACCTCGGCCAAGTCACTTCTGCAACATATGCCGCCGAAGCGCCCCGCTGACCAGCTCCCGAAGCCGATGATGGAAGCCGCCGATGCGCTCAAGGCCCAGGGGCTGGAGGTGACTGGCGAGAACCTGGCTGTGCTCCCTCACGCGCTTCGCGTGAAGGCTTTCAGCTCACTGAACACCGCCCTCAATTCCAGGTTCCAGGATAAGGCGGTGCTGTTCAAGAACTTACAGGACGATAACGACAAGAGGGAGTACCTGGCCAGCTTCATGATCGACCCGAAGAGCGGCGGCACCATGACCAACAAATCCAGCCGCGAGGTGATCGAGAAGACGACCAAGAAGGTCCTCTGGGTCACGTTGGAGCAGTACGGGGGGCCGCTCTTCTTGAACAGCATGGAGCACGCGAGAATCGCCTTGGAGGGCGAGCCTAGTCGACCCCACGAGAACAAGAAGCTGGCGGATACTGGAGCGCAACAGTTCAGGGTGGAGGTCACAGAGGAGGTCTTCGAGAAGGTCCTCAAGGAGAGTGCGGAGCTCGCAAAACAAGTTGAGCTTTCCGCTGAGGAGTTCGAGCCCGTGGCGAACGTGCTGAAAGATAAGGACTTGTCTGGGCCCTCGTCGGCTGATGGCTCCACCAAGCCACCGATGAAGAGACAGCATCAAAGCAGACGCGCCACGCCAGCCGCGACCGAACCCGACCCGCCCGCTGGGCCCGATCCAGCGACCAAGGCTTCGCAGGAGAGCTTGGCGAAGGAGCTGAGTGAGTTGAAGAAGTTCTACGACAAGTCGAAGAAGGAGCTGGACGAGGCGAAGCTCATCGAGCAGAAGCTGGCCTCGAAGGCTTGGGGTGGCGCAGCGACCGACTACCTGAAGGAGGCCGTGGACAAGATGAGGACTGACATGGGCCAGGCGTTCAACTTCTGGGCGGAGACGAAGGGTAAGACGCACGCCAACAACCAGGAGAGGGACGCAGACTCCGCGTCGGCCAGAGCCATGCTCACCGAGAAGAAGAGGGAGTACGACACGTTCAAGACTAACACGTTGAGCGAGTTCCTCAAGTTCAAGAAGTAAGCAGCGTCGGAGTTGCCAGCGACAGAGTGTGCACACTACACTACTCACCAAACAGGGAGCCTCGGCAAGCTTCGGGGCAGCTAGCTCGCCGTCCGCTGACAAAAAAAAAGGTTGCATCACCCAACCGCAGAGCTGACAACATCACCATCACCATCATTACCACCAGCATCCTACTACCTTCGGGGGGGCTACGTTCGAAAATCCAAACCATAACTTTTGGCAACAGTTCTGGTTTGGATTTTGCTTCGGGAAAATATGTACACCCCCTCCTTGCCTTCCCCCTGGGCCTCGCCTTGGGCGCCCGCCTTTGGTGCCCAGTTGGACCTCTGGGCTCCCGCCCCGAAAGGCGAGCTCCCCTTGGGCCTCTTGTGGGTTCCCTGCGTCGTCGTCATCGTTATCGTCATCCGCCATCGTCGACGCTTCAAGCATCCACCATCGTCACACTGGGGCCCAGCCTTGGCATCCTCTTGGCTGCTCGCCTTTGGTGCCCAGTTGGACCTCTGGGCTCCCGCCCCGAAAGGCGATCTCCCCATGGGCCTCTTGTGGGTTCCCTGCGTCGTCGTCATCGTTATCATCATCTGCCATGGTCAACGATTAAAGCATCCACCATCGTCACATTGGGTTGGACCTCTGGGCCCCCGCCCCGAAATGCGACCTCCTGGGGGACCAAGGGGGGGCCCAGGGGAACCAAGGGGACCAAGGGGACCAAGGGGGACCGAGGAGTGGTACCAAAGGGGGCCAAGGGGTACCAAGGGGCACCCAGGGGGGGCCATGGGGACCAAGGGGGACCGACGGTGGGAGCATCGTGATCGCCCTTATCATCCGAAGCCGTTGTGGCCCAATCCACCCCGACAGACTGGCAATGATGATGTGTCGTTTGCTATTCCTGCCTGTGTTTCTCGCAATGGGGATTCGGCAACTGCTTGGCCTGACGAGCAAGTCAACAAAAGTGATTGGCCGCTCGAAATTTGCGAAGGCTGTGAAACCTACCGTCGGCACCGATCTGTCTGAGTGGTTGCGGTCAAAATACCAGCGAGGCCAATTGTCAGCTAAAGCTGTGAGAGTGGCGGCTTCAGAAGAGATGGATGGGGATGTTCACATGTCACGTTGTGGTTCGTCTGGCAAGCACGAGAGAAACATTTCCAGAGATTTAATTCGTTGCTTTTCGAAGAGATCTGAAAGGCCACCCGTTTACGTTGCCAAGTGTGTGTTTTGGGGCCCTCTCAATGCGGAGTCATTTGAAGATGACGTATGTTTCCAGTTGCCGCGCGAAATAATGGAATACGAGATTGACAAACATGGCGTCGATCATTTTACGCACATCGAAGATGACCACCCCGTTTTTCGGATTCGTGAAGAGTGGTGTCAGCGAGTTGACTTACATCCAGATGCGGCCAGTTCTGTTGTTTCAATTTCTGCGTGGGGCGATTCTGCTGGGTTCTTGACGCGCGACAGCATCTGTCTTATGTTGTGGGGCCCAATCGGCGGGGCTGACCGCGCCCGGCACTGGTTCGCATCGTGGGGAAAGCGAGTGCGTTGCGGTTGTGGGTGCCGCGGACGGCACACATTCGATTCCTTTGTTCGGGTTCTGGTGTGGGCGATGGAGGCCCCCCTGACAGGCAAGTGGCCATCGACGAGGCATGACGGAGTCCGCTTTGCAGACTCCAAGCTGCCAGGCCGCGGGGACATGTACCTTGCATCCCGCTCCCCCTCGTCCTCCCCCTCCTCCTCCTCGCCCCCGCATGTTGGCCTAGTCTCAGGTGAGGTCACAGTACCGGTAACTGCTTTGCAGCATTCCTCCTCCGCTGGGGGGAGGGGGGAATGCTTAACAGATCCTAAGATGCATCGACCTCTGACGGCTCTTGCCTTGCCTTACCTTGCCTCATCTTCATGCCACTCCCCGTCGCCCTCCCCTCCCCTTTTCTCCACGACGCACATCTCGCTCTCAAAAATATCCCCAAAAATGCGCGGGCGAGGGGGCGGGGGGGAGTAAGGTGCAAGTCCCTGAGCAGCTCCAGGTGACAGATGGCGGGCCGCAAGAGCTCGCAAAGGAGATTCGCTTCGGGTGCGCATGGGCGTGTGCCAAAAAAAAGGTGATTGGTCATGGATGCAACAATTTCTCGGCGTATCTGGGTGGGGCGGGGAAGGCGACAATAAAATTGTATGTTGGAAATGCAAAGCTGGCTATAACACGGAATTCCCCTACACAGATGCGTCCCTCGCGGCCGCATGGCGGACGACTTCTGTTTCCGACCTCTCGTTTCGACTTGAAATGCTATCTGGCCTTCGATATGCGAGCCCCTTCTGGAGCATACCAGGCTTTATATCGGACTACGTGACTATAGATTTAATGCACGCAGGGGACCTCGGGTGTTTGCAATATTTTCTCGCCAACGTATTGCTCGAGATTTTTGATCGCATGGGCGGTGTTGTCTCGCGCCCGTGTGGGACATTAGGCCACTTAACGCTCTTGATGTCGATTTGTTCTAAGAGCCTTGGTTTGGAGAGCCCGCCATGGAATTGGATCACAATGAATATGATCAAGACAAGTGGGAAAAACCCGAAAATGAAGTTGAAGGCGTCTGAAACCCGCAGGCTGCTAAAATGCACGCGGCTCCTCATTGAGCGGTTCTTCCCCCCCGAGATGCCCACGAACAGCTGGTTTTCGATTGTGTGGATGCTGTTCATCATATATACGTTGAACTGCACCGATGGGACCGCTATGCTTCGCCGCCGAAGTGTGCAAGATGGGCGCGTGTGTTTGTCACGCTTTACGGTGAACTTAACAAATGGGCAGTGGCAGAGAATTTAAATGGATCTTTCACGCGGTATAAATTTTACCCGAAGTTCCACCAATTCGTTGAATTGTTCGAAAGAGAGGTGCCAAAGTATGGGTCGGCAGCTGATTTTTGGTGCTGCGCCGACGAATCGGCGATAGGTGATGCAATTCATGTGGCCGAGCGCTGTCACGCAAAGTACTTGCACAGGTCAATCATGCGCAGGCACCGCCTGTGAGAAAAACAATAGCTTACCCACGCGTATGGCATTTGGTCATCACGTGGTCACTGCAAAAAATGAAGGGAATCCTGAGTCTCTATCCTCTATAATCCGCTTGGCTCCGCCGTGGCCTTCCGCCCCGTCGTTCCCCCTGGCGCTCACTGTTTGGGATCCACGCGTTTGTTCCCCTTAACTGTGGGCGTCCCTTTAGATAGCTTCCTTTTGGCACTAGGTGTACATTATGTATATGTATATGTTTATGTGTAAATATGTATGCATATATGTATGTGTATGTGTTTGTATGTCTATGTAAATGATTATGTGCGGATACGCATGCATATCACGCACGTGCATACACGCACGTACGCGTATGAACGTGTATATATATATGAATATATATGAATATATATATACATGTATATATATACATGTATATATATATATATACACACCATATACCACAGTTCTATGCTTTAAGATATACATAGTTATGTATATATATGTATATATTATATTATATTATATATGCACATGTATGTGCGTATACATCACGATCGTGGGTGCTCGACCACGATCGTGGATCCTCGATCGCGATCGTGGATCTTTGACCACGATCGTGGATCCCCGATCTACGATCGGGGATATCAGGATCCGCGATCACGATCGTGGATCCTCGATCACGATCGTGGATCCACGATCTACGATCGGGGATTTCAAGATCCACGATCACGATCGTGGATCCGCGATCATGATCGTGGATCCACGATAAAGAACGTTGATCGGAAGCCCAGGGGAGCGGGCCGCTCAAGATGGCCTGGGTGGGCGGCCGCCGAAGATGGCCCAGACTGTGGCAGGCCTTCGGCCGAGCGCCCCCCCGCGCTCGGGTCGGGGGGCCCGGCCGCGCGTCCGCCGCCGGCGCCGCCAAGCCCCGGCGCCCCTTGCGTTGGCGGCGACGTGGGCCGGGGGAAGTTGACTGGGGCCCCGGCAAAGATGGGGCGCCGCGCCCCCGAGAGCCGGTCATTCCGAAACGCCCGAGCGAGGACCCCGACGAGGAGTCGGAGATACAGCGTCTGGCCCCAGCCAAGAATGCGCTCGCGGGGCGCGACCGCGAGGCTCCTCCGCAGCTGCGGCACGCGGATCGGTAGATCGCCCCGGCGACGCTGGACACTGTTAAACAGGCGCGCGCCTTGGAGCGCGAGTTCGCCCGCGAGCAGAGGAGCGCGCGCGGAAGGCCCATCGTCTTCGCGCGGTTCGCGCCGCGAGTCCGGCGGGGCAAAAGACGCATTTGCGCGAGTCCTGGGTTCGATGTGACCCAAGTGCGGAGCGACGCATCCAGGAAATCAAGATGGCGGCGCAGGGTGCCTTCGAAAACGCGCGCCAGCAAGAGCTCGCCCCTCTCGAGGATCACGGCAAACAGTTCATGCAGATTATAGGGGGCGCGGATGTCGCAGTCAACGAGTTCCACGCGCTCGGGGGGCCTATGTTTATGATTGTTTTCTGCGGGAGGCCCATTGCGGTGGCCGCGGGAGGCGGCGGGGGGGCCTCTTGCCAAGGCCGCCAACCTACCGCCAACATCTTTCACCCGAGCTACGCCGTGTGGTTTGACCGCGGTGCCCCCCCTCATTGCAGGTCGCGCGGTCGGCGCTGGGGCCATTCAGGCGCCCTGTAGCCGCCATTGGGGCCAGTGGTGGACCCATCTTGGCGGCTTCCCACGCGCGGGGGGGGGGGGGCGCAGACGACTTCGCTCAGGCTCTGGCGCGATGAGGGAAAAGGAGGAGGAGGACGAGAGGGGGGAAGCGGAAGAGGAGGAGGAGGAGGAGGAGGAGGGGGGGGAGGAGGAGGCTTCGCCGCTTCCAGGACCCAGACCACGTGGACGACCACGCCTTGACCCCTCTCCACAACGAGGTGGATGCCTGCGCCGTCTCGAAGCGAGAGGGGATGGCCGCCCGCTGTCTGGGCCGCCGCCTGCGCGACCTGGGCCGCGCCGCCGCGGGCCGTGAGTCGCGCGGCGACGCGGCGACGAATTCGGCGAGCATTGGCGCAAAGATGGTCGACGCGCTGGCAGTGGCCGGCGCGAACCTCGAGGCCGGGGGCCCGAGTGGCAGCGCGTCGCTTATGATGGCGGCGGCGACGCGCGTTGGCGAGGGGCGTTGCTTCGGCCCGAGCGGCTCCAGCGCGCGGCGGCGCTGGCGGGGGCGGCGGGGAAGCGGTTGGCCGCGGGCCCCCCCGCCCCCCCTTTTCCTCCATGATGCCCCCCCCCCCGCCCCCCACGCCGCGCGCGCGTGCGTTCGCGCGACGCGCTCGGGCGCGCAGCGTGGCCGAAACGCGCGCGCGTGATTTATTGGCCAGGCGTCGGCATCTTGCGCATCTTGCGCGGTGCCGAGAAGATGCGCGCGCGGGGCCGCGCAGCGGGGGGCGCTGCATGGGCGCCGCCCGACGGGCCCGAGCACAGGGGGCAGAAACCATTGCCGCGTGCGACGACGACGGCGCGCTGCCCATGTGGACCGGGAACTCGACGATGAATGGTTGGGTCGAGACGCAGGGCCGACAGGTGCACCCTTGGCCGCAGGCAGACTCTTAGACGCCGACCCTGGACCACGTGGAAGCGTTGTGCCACCGGCAAGCTCGCGATAAGAAGGGCAGGGGGTAAGGCCAGGGGGATCGCGCGGGCGGCGGGCGGCGCGGTCGCCCTGGCCGCCGTCGAGCTCGCGGGCGCTTGCGCGGGCCCGGTCGCTTTCGGGCGCGCGCCCTTGGAACTGTCTGTCGCCGTCGTGGGCGAGGACCTGGGCGCGCAGATGGGGCATTCGTAGCACCCGCTCTTCCCAGGCGCCCCAGGCGCTTGGGATTCGGCCGGCTCATCGATCCCGAGAAGACGGATTCGGCCGCCTCGGGCCCGAGAAGGCGCGACAAAAGACGAGCGCGCAGGCGCGGCTGGGCGGTTCGCGGGCGTTGCAGCGGCCCCCCAGCTGGCACGCTTTTTTTTTTTTTTTTTTTTTTTTTTTTTTTTTTTTTTTTGTTTTTTTTTTTTTTTTTTTTTTTTTTTTTTTTTTTTTTTTTTTTTTTTGTTTTTATTTTTTTACTTTTTTTTTTCTTTTTTTTGTTTTTTTTTTTTTTTTTTTGTTTTTTTTTTTTTTTTTATTTTTGTTTTTTTTTTTTTTTTTTTTTTTGTTTTTTTTTTTTTGCTTTTATTTTATTTTTTTTGTTTGTTTTTTTTTTTTTTTTTTTTTTTTTTTTTTTGTTATTTTTTTTTTTGCTTTTTTTTTCTTTTTTTTTTTTTTTGTTTTTTTTTTTTTTTTTTTTTTTTTTTTTTTTTTTTTTTTTTTTTTTTATTTTTTTTGCAACGCGAGCGGCGAACAAGGAGAAGGCTCGCCCCGACCGAGGGCCTCGCAAACTACGCTGCGCCATCGCCTTGCAGCAGTTGAAGCAGCAGCGGCTGGACAAGAAAAGCCAGCACTAGGAGTCCGAGATAGACGCAGCAGAAGCAGTCCGAGTTGGAGTGCCTCACGCCAGAGGTCGGTGTGTCTTGTGTGCTTGGGCGGTGTGCTTGTTGTGCCTGGTGCGTTTGCCTTGCAGTGCCTGGATGGTGTTCCTGGTGTCCTGTTTGTTATGCCAGAACGTTGGCTCTGCTACGCCTGGGCGGTGTTCTTGTTGTTCTAGTTGTGCCCGGTCGGTTTGCCCGGTGCGTCTGCGGTGCCTGGGCGGTGTGTCTGGCGCGGCTGCCCCTGTTGCACCTGTTGTGCCTGGTCGGTATATTCGGTGCGACTGTGGGCGATGTGCCTGTTGAGCCTGCTGCGCCTGGCGTGTGTACCTGTTGTGCGTGGGCTGTGTTTCTGGTGTGAGTTTGCGGTGTGGCTGCTGTGCCTGAAGTGTCTGGTCGGGCTACCTGCTGTGCTTGTTTCGCCTGCCTGTTGTGCCTGGTCGATGTGTCAGGTGTGCCTGGGCGGTGTACCTTTAGTGCATGGGCGGTCTGCGTGCTGTGCCTGGATGGTGTGCCTAGTGTCCTGTTGTGCCAGGTCGGTGAACCTGGCGTGCCTGGGCGGCGTACCCCTTGTGCCTGTTGTGCCCGGTCGGTTTGCCTGTTAAGCGGTGTGTCTGTTGTGCTTGCTGCGCCTGGTCGGTGTTCCTGTTGCCCAGTTGTGCCCGGTCAGCGAAATTCGCGGTGCCTGGGCGATGTGCCTGTTGAGCCATCTGCACCTGGTCGGTGCGCCTGTCGTGCGTGGTCTGTGTTTCTGGCGTGCGTAGGCGGTGCGGCTGTTGTGTCTGTAATGTATCCTCGGTGTGCCTGTTGTGCCTGTTGTGCTTGATGTGCCTGGGCTGTGTGCCTGTCGTGCCTGGTCGGTGTGCCTGTTGTGCCTGTTGCGTTTGGTTGGTATGTCTCGCGTGCCTTGGCGATGTGCCTGCTGTGCCTGTTGTGCCTGGATTGTGTGCCTCTCGTGCCTGGGCGCTGTGCCAGTTGTGCTTGGTGTGCCCGGTCTGTCTCTCTATTGTGCCTTTTGTGCCTGATTGGCGTGTCGGGTGTGATTCGGCGGTGGGCCTGTTGCTCTTGGTCGGTGCCTTGTCGGTGCGCCTGGTGTGCTTGCGCGGCGTGGCTGTTGCGCCTGTCGTTCCTGGTCTGCGCGCTTGTTGTCCCTGGTCTGTGCGTCTGGTGTGCCTTTGCTGCGTGTTTGTTGTGCCTGGTGTGCCTGGTCTGTGTGACTGTTGGGCGTGGTCGATGTGTCTGGCGCGCCTGGGCTGCGCGCGCACTGCGCATTTTGCGCCCAGTCGGCGCCCCTGCCCTGGGCCGAGCTGCACGCGCGGACGCGCCGGGCTTGTCGCCCCCACGGCGGGGTTGGAGGGTGAAAGTGGGGGTCGGGCGCAGGGCCCCGGCAATGATTTTTTGAAAGTCATGGATGGGCGATGCATCCTCGATTGCTGTGTTCGGCGGGGGAACTAATTGAAGCCCCCCGCCTGCGCCCGCGCGCGAGACTTGAGGAGAAAGGAAGCAAGGGGGCGAGGGGCTCGGGAAAGGCGACGAGGGTAACGTGCGCTAAGGGCGCAACAAGAACAGGCTGGAACACGCGAAAACGGTCGGGTGAGTGTCGAAATCTGCCCAGCCAATCTGGCATGCGGAACACTGCGCCTCAGTTTTGGGGATCTTGAAGGCCAGGGCAAAATGTGAATTCACACTGTGGGGAAAAGCAAAATTTGAATTCACATTTTGGGAAAAAGGAAAATGTGAATTCACATTTTGGGAAAAAGGAAAATATGAATTCACATTTTGGAATTTTATGTAGGATTCTTTATGAAAGGGGCCAGAATGTGAATCCACAGTTCGGGAAAAAGGAAAATGTGAATTCACATTTTGGGGGAAAGGAAAATGTGAATTCGCATTCTGGAAGAATCGCGGGGCCCATTCCAAATCTGTCTTGGGGGTCGAGAAGTCATCGCTTGGGAACACACGCGATCATCAACCGCACAATCAAGACACACTTGCACTCCACTTCGCCGACCCACGCGCAATATGCAAGAACGCCCGCACGCATGAACGATAATTGGTGGACGGCGCGTGCGCCCGCGCGGGCAACGCGCGGGCGCGAATGACTGGCCACCAATGACCGCCAGCATTGGATGCCAATCGTACCCGATCACATACATGAGCGATACATTGAGCATACATGGGCCATTCAGCCCCCATTGAAGACCCCCTGCTGCAGACCCCCTCTTTCACCCTCCAACGGGGGCGGGATTCTCTCGCGCACTCCTCATGCATATTGTTACGCTTATTTCCCTTATCTCCTCCGCCCCTGCCCCCCCTCCTCCTCCTCCTCGCCGACCTCTCGCCCCGACGCCGGCTGCGCCGAGGCCGACGAGCTCGGCATCCCCGACGGTGCTTGGCCCATCATCTCCAAGGGCATCTTCCCGCCCGCCATCTCAAACATCTCCGAGGGCGCCTTGCCCAAGACCTCCGAGGGCAATTTCACGCCCAACGCAGGCGAGGGCCACCTCGAGCCCAGCCCGACAGCGACTTCCTCTGCGCGCCGCCCCACTTCGTCAGGCCCGAGGAGAAAACCACAGCAAACCCAACTTCGACCAGCAGAAGGTTGGGCCTGGCGCGGGCCCCTCCCGAGCATTTCCCCGCGGCGGACGGCGGCTCCTTGGGCGGCGATTCCCACGGCAGCGGCTCGGGGCACAGTGTGGCCCCGCGCGCTTTCACGCAGGAGCAGCCGGCCTCGCTTGGGCCGTCAAGGTTGGCTGTGCTCTGCAAGCTGGGCCCCATGCAGTAATCGTGAAGAGAAGATCGGCACGGTCTCCTTTAGCATCTGCGGTCGGTTGGTTGAGGAGTTCAAGTGCGTGTGGAGCGACCCCCAGACCTCCTCGGACTACTTGCGCGAGGCATTATGGTTCAAACCCGCGGGTGCACTCCCCGCGCCCCTCCCTCGGTCGGGCGCCTGCGGAGCCTGCTCCCGCGCGGCGCGCTGGGAAAATCCGCTCTTCCACTCCTGCTGCTGTCTTGGTGCCGTCCCGCCGCCAGGCGGCGCGGAAATGTTCACGCGCGACGAGAAGGCGCGCCGCGCCCCCCCCTCTCCCGCGCACGCGTCTTGCGCTGCTCACCACCGACGGCGCGCCAACCTTTTTCCCAACCATCCTGTGGTGTTGGGTCCTCGTTTTGAAAAGACGTCGTTCCACATTCTCCTCCTCCTCTCCTCTCCTCCTCCCCCTTCTCTCTCCTCCATCACCATCATCACCACCACCATCATCATCATCATCATCATCATCATCATCATCATCATCAGGATCATCATCATCACCCGTTTCAGCATACCCCTCACACGCTTCGGGGCCCCATAGGGAGCCCCACCGAAGGTCCCAGTGCTACCGTCCGCATGCGTCCCCCCCGCCCAGTACAACGTTCCGTGGCCCCATAAGGAACCCCACCGACAATCCCAGCGCTACCTTCCGCATGCGCCCCCCCCCCCACCCCACCCAGTACAGCGTTTCGTGGCCCCATAAGACGCCCCACCGAAGGTCCCAGTGCTACCGTCCGCATGCGTCCCCCCACCCAATACAGCGTTTCGTGGCCCCATAGGGAGCCCCACCGAAGGTCCCGTTGCTACCGTCCGCATTTTGCGTCCCCCCCCACCCAGTTACACCCTTTCGTGGCCCCATAGGGAACCCACCGCATTGTCCAGTGCTACCGTCCGTCAATTTCGTCCCCACCCAGTACCGCGCTTCGTGGACCCTTATGGACCCACGAAGGTCCCGTGGCACCGTTCCGCATGCGTCTCCCCCGTCCGTTACAGCGCTTCGTGGCCCCAGAGGGAGCCCACCGAAGGTCCCAGTGCTACCGTCCGCATGCGCCCCCCCCAACCCAGTACAGCGCTTCGTGGCCCCATATGGAGCCCCACCGAAGGTCCCAGTGCTACCACCCGCATGCGTCCCCCCCACCCAGTACAGCGCTTCGTGGCCCCATAGGGAGCCCCACCGAAGGTTCCAGTGCTACCGTCGCCCAGTACAGCGCTGCGTGGCCCCGCAGGCAGCCCCACCGAAGGTCCCAGTGCTACCGTCCCCATGCGTCCCCCACGCCCAGTACAGCGTTCCGTGGCCCCGCAGGGAGCCCCGCCGAAGGTCCCAGTGCTACCGTTCGCCGGTGGGCCAGTTGTACCGTTCGTGCCTGGTTGGTGTCTCTGTTGTGCCTGTTGTGCCTGGGCAGTGTGCCTGGCGTGCCTGGTGTGTCTTGTCAGTGTGTCCAGTGTGCCTGGTCGGTGTGTCTGTTGTGCCTGGTCGGCGTGCCTGTTGTGCCTGTTGTGCTTGGGCGGCGTGTCTGATGTGTGTTGGGCGGTGTACCTGTTGTGCCTGGTCGGTGTGCCTGTTGTGCCTGGTCGGTGTGCCTGGTGTGCCTGGTGTGCCAGGTCGGCGTGCTTGGCCTGCGCGGTGCTCTTGGTGTTTGCGCCTGGTGTGCGTGGTATGCCTGGTGTGCGTGGTCGGGGTGCCTGGCGTGCTTGGGCGGTGTGCCTGGTGTGCCTGGTCGGTGTGTTCGGTGTGCCTGGTGTGCCCGGTTGGTGTGCCTGGTGTGCCCAGTCGGTGTGTCTGGTGTGCCTGGCGGTAGGCATTGTGCGCTTGCTGTGCTGGTGATCATCGCCGCCCAACACCATCACCATCATCCATGTCGTCGTTACTCTTATCACCTCGCATCCCCTCACCATCAGCCATCCCATCATCACCGTTAACCATATCAGCCCCATCTGTCCGCCGCAAGCCTCATCACCAAGCCCCATCACAACCATACCATCATCAACACCATCCATCCCATCGTCACCATAATCCATTTCATCGTCACCACCATCGCCATCATCCACCTTATCATCATGCAGTTCTGAGGGTTCCCAGGCTTGCATGGAAGCAGGCTTGGGGAACTGGCCGCGAAAGGTTCGAACAGGACACTCTGTTCGTAATGCATCGTAGCCAACCTGGGGGCGCGAGACTGCGCACCTGGAGACCACGAAGCAGGTCACACGACGCTGCTGCCACAGGGGCACCGGTTGGATCGGCCCAGCCCGTTGACTGCCTGGCGCCGACGCCGCCTTCGCACGTGGGACACCCGGAGCCCAGTCAGCCGAGGTGGTTCTCCACTCAACAGCGTGGCGCGCGATGCGTGCGCACATCGTGGAAGGACGAGGCGCGAATGGACAACGACTGCAGCGGGAACCGCGCCTCGGCCTTCTTTACAGCGACTCCAGTGCTGAAGGTGGACATCGATGGTCATCGGGTTCGCACGCCAGGACATGCAGGAGATGAGGAGTCAGCGTCGGGCTCTGACGGGGATCCGCAACCGCGCGGTGAAGCCGCACGGGTTGCCGGATGGTCCAGCACACGTTGTTGTGCCTGCACCCCGCCGCGCAGGTGTGGCGGCCAGTGGTGCTCGGAGAACGCCTCCAGCCATGCAGTACGGGCCCGAGGATGGACGATGTAAGGCGTATCCAGAAAGTTTGGTGATGAAGATGATGCTGATGATGATGATGATGTTGTTGCTGATGATGATGATGATGTTGATGTTGGTGATGTTGCTGTTGATTATGATGATGTTGATGATGAGTATGATGATGATGATGCTGATGATGGTGGTGGTTGCGGTGGTGGTGGTGGTGGTGATGCTGTTGGTGATGATGTTGGTGATGATGGTGATGGTGATGATGATGACGATGATGCGGATCATGCCGATGCTGATCATGCTGATGAGGAGGATGATGGCACGATGGTGATGATGATGAGGAGGAGAAGGCTGGTGATAGTGGTGGTGATTGCCATGGTGATGATAACGAACAGGAGGAAGGGGAGGAGGAGGAGGAGGAGAAGGAGGAGGAGGAGGAGGAGGAGGAGGAGGAGGGGAAGGAAGAGGAAGACCGTCACACGAGACACCGTTCGTCTTCACGATTTTTAGATCTCACGGAATCCGTTTGGGTCGTCTTGGGGCTGTCTTGGCTTCCAGCGAGGCAGTCTTGCGGGTCCTCTGGGGCCCTCTTTGGCCGTCTTGTGGCCCTCTTGGCCGTGTTGTGGGTTGTTTGGGGCCGTCGTGGGGACGACTTTGCGCCATCTTGGGCTGCCGAAGGGCTTTCCAAGGCCGTCGTTGGTCCCACGGGAGGCCCTCTTGGGCCATCTTGGGGCCGTCCGTCTTGGATGCCTACCTCGCGGGGTCCTCATGGACCATATGCGGACCCTCGTGGGGACCTCTTGGGTCTTGTGTCGTCTATGGGGCCATCGTGGAGGCTGTTAGGGTCGTCGGAGCTGGCGGACGCAAGAAAAGGCTACAACACAAACATGGCTCAACTTCCGAAAGAGAACACACTGAGGTTGTGTGTTTCGGGTTTGGGGGTGTTTGGGGGAGGCATCTTGGGTCGTCGTGGGGCCATCTTCGGCCGCCTTGGGGCTCTCTTGGGGCCCGTCTTCGAGGCATGTTTGGGCCACCTTGTTGTCTTTGGTTCCCTGTATGGGCTTTCTTGGAAGGTCGGGACGCGGATCCATAGTTTTCCCCACCATCCTGTTGTGTTGGGTCCTTTTTGAAAGAGACAGCGCCCCGCGTTCACACTCCAACCTCCTACCCCTCCCTCCCCTCTCACTCCTCCCATCCTGCCTTCCCCCCTTCCTGGACATCCCTCACAGGTTGTGTTTCCATGGGGGAGCACCACGAAGGCCCCAGTGGCAGGGTTCGCACGGGCGGCGCCGCACTGATTTTGGCACAACCCTCACCGTTTCGTGGGCCCCCATGGGGAGGTCTTTTTTCTTCGGGGTTTTTTTTTTCTTTCTTGTTGTTTTTTTTGTTTGCTTTTGGTCTCTTTTTGATTCATTCAAAATTTTTTTTTTTTTGTTTTATTTTTTTTTTTTTAATACTTTTATTTGTTTTTTCGTTTTTATTTATTTTTTGTTGTTTTCTCTCGTATTTCATCTTTTTTTTTTTTTTTTGTTTTTTTTTTCTTATATTTTAATTTTTGTTTTTTTCTTTTTTCATTTTTATATCTCACCGAAGGCTCCAGTGGAGGGTTCGCAAATGACGGCGCGCCGGATGTTGGCACCCCTCGCCCGTTGTTTCGTTGGCAACCATAGGGGGGGGGGGGGCCCTTCACGAAGGCCACAGTGGCAGGGTTCGCATGGCGGCGCCGCTCGATTTTGGCACACCCCTCACATATGCCGTGGTCCCAGAGGGAACTCCACCGAAGGCTCCAGTGGCAGGGTTCGCATGACGGCGCCGCCCGATTTTGGCACCCCTCGCATTCTGTTTCGTGGCACCATAGGGAGCTCCACCGAAGGCCACAGTGGCAGGGTTCGCATGGCGGCGCCGCCCGATTCTGGCACACCCCTCACAGGTTTCTTCGCCCCATAGGCAGGTCAAGTGAAGGCCTCAGTGGCAGGGTTCGAATGGCGGCGCCGCCCGATTTCGGTACACCCCTCACACGGTTCGTGACCCCGTAGGGAGTTCCACCGAAGGCCCCAGTGGCAGGGTTCGCATGGCGGCGCCGCTCGATCTTGGCGCACCCCTCACATATTTCGTGGCCCCATAGGGAGCTCCACCGAGGGCCCCAGCGGCAGGGTTCGCATGGCGGCGCCGCCCGATTTTGGCGCACCCCTCACACGATGCGTGGCCCACTAGGGGGCTCCACCGAAGACGATGCTCACGACGGCGGTACTCGCAGCCGCATGTGGTTGGGCCCCTCGCCAGGCTAATCATCCAAGGACCGTGGTCTCGGGAGCGAGGATCCATAGGTTTGTTTCGAAGGATCGTGGCCTCGGGAGGGTGGGAGGGGCACACAACACTCTGTGGGCATGAGGGGGGTGCCCCTGATTTGAATGCACATCCCTGCAGGGCAGCACTTGGCACTCAAACACGCCCGTATCGTGTAGGCATGGTGATGGATACGCGCTGAGCAGCGATCTCGCCATGCCGGGAATAGGTTCTTCACCGCGGAGGGCCAGATGTTCGACGAGGTGATGAAGAGGCTGCTGGTTGGGAAGCCGGGGTTGGGAAGCCGGGAGGGGGTTCGGCGGGTCCTGTGCCGCTCCCACCTCGTCGTCGTCCTTCTTTTCTGTTCCGCTGCAGTTGGCGTTGTGGGGATCGCCGTCGACTCCTCCATCCGTACCCCTTCCATCTAACTCTTCTCTGTCCCACCACCAGGCGCGTCGGTGGGGTGGATCGTGCGTTTCGCTTCAGGCTTCTTCGTCATCTACGACCACGAAGGTCCAATGTCCCAACCGTAACAACGATAGAGGGTGGCATTTGTTTCAAAAACGGTGTGTCCGCCTTAGCCGATGGCACATTCGGTTTTCCCAACCATCCTGTGGTGTTGGGTCCGCGTTTTGAAGACACGGTCCCCGCGTTCTTCTCCTTCCTCCCTCCTCCTCCCCCTCGTCCTTCCTCCCTGCGTTCCACCCACCCAGTACAGCGCTTCGTGGCCCCATAAGGGGGCTCCACCGAAGGTCCTAGTGCTACCGCCCGCATGCGCCCCCCCAGCCAACTCAGCGATTCGTGGCCCCATAGGGAGCTCCACCGAAGGTCCCAGTGCTACCACCCGCATGCGCCCCCCCCACCCAGTACACTTGTTCGTGGCCCCATAGGGAGCTCCACCGACGGCCCCAGAGCTACCGCCCACATGCGTCCCTCCCACCCAGTACACTTGTTCGTGGCCCAATGCGGAGCTCCACCGAGCGCCCAAGAGCTACCGCCCGCATGCGTCCCCCCCACCCAGGACAGCGTTTCGTGGCCCCATAGGGGGCTCCACCGAAGGCCCCAGTGCTACCGCCCGCATGCGCCCCCCCCACCCGGTACAGCGCTTCGTGGCCCCATACGGAGCTCCACCGAAGGTCCCAGTTTTACCGCCGCCCGCATGCGTCCCTCCCACTTGGTACAGCGTTTCGTGGCCCCATAGGGAGCCCCACCGAAGGGCCCTTGCTTCCGTCCGCAGGCGTCCCTCCCTTTTAGTACAGCGCTTCGTGGCCACATAGGGAGCTCCACCGAAGGCCCCAGTGCTACCGCCCGCATGCGCTCCCCAATCTAGCACAGCGTCCCGTGGGCCCCCTAGGGAGCTCCACCGAAGGCCCCAGTGCTACCGCCCGCATGCGTCCCCCCCCACCCAGGACACGGTTTCGTAGCCCCATACGGAGCTCCACCGAAGGTCCCAGTGCTACCGCCCGCATGCACTTTCCCCCACCCAGTTCAGCGCCTTGTGGCGCCATAGGGAGTTCCACCGAAGGAGATATTCACAATTGCGGTACTCACCTCTGCATATGGTTGGGCCCTTCGCCAGGATAATTGAATGCATCAGCGACAAAAACTGATAACAGCACCTTTGACTGAATGGGCCCTCGCCTTCGCGCCGCGCGCACCCGCCTGAAACATGTGCAGCAGTCGGGATATCATGAGTCAGGATATCATTGGCAATCGTGAGTCGGGATATCCGGGGGCAGTTGGCCAAAATTAATTTGAACTATGCGCAGAGAAGTGCAGCGCGCAGTGTGTGGGAAGGATCGCCGTGCCAGGTCAAAATATATGGCTGGGAGGGGGGAAATACCTGGTAGCCGGCTGCACGTCAAGGTTTCGTTTTTGGGGGGTCGTGATCGCAAGGGGTGGGAACACTTCAGCGGAATCTGAGACGCGGTTGTTGGGCGTTTGGGTGAAGTTGTCCAGTTTACCCGAGGTACTTCGCACAGAACACATTGCTCACAGATCGTTTGAGGCTTCTGCGCTCCACAGTAATGACAATTATTTTGTGGTGCCCGGAATCCTGGAAGCTGACCGGTGCTGAATAATTATCTTGGCGAAAGACCCAACCATATATAATTGTGAATAACGCGTTGTGGGTGCCGCTTGCGGTGGGTCACGCAACGCGTAATGGGGCGTGCCGTAATGGGTGGGGGGGGCGCATGCGGGCGGTCCCATTAGGGCCTTCGGTGGAGCTTCTTGTGTGGCTACGACGCGTTGCAATGAGTTGTGGAGACGCATGCGGGCGGTGCCACTGGGGCCTCCGGTGGAATTCTTATATGGGGCCACGAAGCGATGTATTGGCTGGGGGGACGCATGCGGGCGGTGGCGTTGGGACCTTCGGTGGAGTTCCGTATGGTGGGGCCACGAAGCGTTGTACTGTGTGGGGGAGGCATTTTCGGGCGGTAGTACTGGGGCCTTCGGTGGAGCTCCGTATGGGGCCACGAAGCGCTGTATTAGGTGGGGGGACGCATGCGGGCGGTTCCACTCGAACCCTTCGGTGGAGCTCCCTATGGGCCCACGAAGCGCTGTATTAGGTGTGGTGGACG